TTTATGGTGTTTTCAGGCCAATAGCATTAAAGCCTCATCCATTTTCCCCTTAGTGAATTCAAACAATACCAGATTTATAAATATAGACCATAGGGTTCAAGAGCTACAGACATTTTTATTTGGGTATGTCGTTTTTCAGAAAATGCTCAAAAATAGGGGAGCACAGTAAGTGGCTAATTGCTTTTTCCATACATTAACTGACAGTCACCACTGATAAGCTACCACTAAATATTGTAGAAACTTAATTTGCTGTAAAGTTGCTTTGCAACGATTTGTATCGTGAAAAGCGCTATACAAATAAACTTGAATTGAATTGAAATAGCGGTTCTGGTTTATGTGATGCCTAGGCGAAATCAGACATGACGCGGGATTACTCTTCACCTGAGTTAAAAACTTAGCACTTCTGGTCTTTAGCGATGCAAGGACAAAGATTGAGTGCGCAAATGCCATATCCGAACAAGCAAAAGGCCAATCCTTAAGAGAACATTGTATATTTGAAAGCGCTTGTCCAGTTTTGTGTGAGAGTAAAGAAAATCTGCCTGCAAGTGGAGAGATTCGTATTTGAGCATTACATGGATGTGCTATCATAATGCGTTATCGACATTTCTCATTAAAATAACACAAGAGAAGCTGCCTAAAGTATAAATTATAAATAAATATGTATTTAAACTATAAGTCAAGTCAAGTCACCTTTATTTATATAGCGCTTGTAACAATACAGATTGTGTCAAAGCAACTGAACAGCATTAATTAGGAAAATAGTGTGTCAATAATGCAAAATGACAATAGTAAACACTAATTTTTCAGTTAAAGGCAGTTCATCATTGAATTCAGTGATGTCATCATCCAGCTCAGTTCCGTTTAAATAGTATCTTTGCAATCACTTGCAATCAAGATAACGATATCGCTGGAAATGAAGTGTCCCCAACTAAGCAAGCCAGAGGCGACAGCGGCAAGGAACCAAAACTTCATCGGTGACAGAATGGAGAAAAAATCTTGGGAGTGTAGCAATTAGACACAAAGTAGTTTCGCTTTCACAACGAAACACAGCACCTTCACGACATGGTGGCGGTGGCAACAACAATACTACAGCGAGAATAAAAGTTACGCCTTCTTTCTTTGCGTGAACATTTGGGTGGTGTTATGCAAATCTTCCCACATCGTGACGTAGACATGTGGGGGCGTGTTAGAACGAGCCGTTTTAGGTAGGCGTGGTTGACTCTTGTAGCGTCTGGACCAATCAAACACACAATTTTTCATTTGATTTAACAAATCACTTATTCATTAGTTTAACAAATCGTCACAGTCCCCTCACCCAATAAACTGGATGCCAGGAGGCCGCAACGGCCCCCAGGCCCCCCCCCCTGGTTACCATGGCAACCACGACACCTCTGCTAGACCAGATCCATTTACGACCTAATGACATGTTGAGAATTTCCCTCGCACTACAATTTCCATAGGAAATCCAAAGTGCACAGTAGAAATTGACTTTTCTTCTAATTAATTCATAGGAAAACCTTTCTTTGAATGAACAGTGTAACCTTCAGGGCATGGTGTATGTTGTCTTTGATATTTTTAGACTATTTTAGGCATGCTTA